CACATTAAGCACATGAGTCATCATATCTTTCTCCTGTCATACAGGATAAGTCCTTTGCCAGAATTTCTCCTGACATATAGGATTTTTGACATAATACTATGTCAACTTTACCTAGTTACGTAGGTATTTTCCCAGACTTTCCCCGCCATGCGGGTTTTATCATAATCCTCTTTCCCGCTATGCAGGTAATTCCCTGTAAGGAATATGAATGCCAGAATTGGCTCTTTTGACTGCATATTCAATCATCAAATTTATAAATAAATCCGAATGCTCTTTGACGCACATGCTTGATCTGACGTTGGTCAAATTAAACACGCACGTTGCTTGTTTTATCTCAAATCATAGAGAGTACATGAAAGACATTCGTCAACCAAAACTCTCAATGATCTATCTCTTTTCTTTTGAAACCATTCTTTAGAGAGAACATACTCCCTCACGTTATAATCTTTCTTGGTCGTCTTTCGGGTCACAAGTACCCAGCCATTCGCTTTCATGAATGAAAGCATGAAAAACTTTTAGTCTGAGAAAACTTAGCCAATAATCAACAATAATGAGCATAAAAAATAACCCCATGTTGGCCTGGTTAAAAAAAATATGCACATTAAACTTTGAAAAACTTTCTTTTATATTCTAAATCACCGCTGGGCAGAATTAGAATAAAACATCATCCTTCTACATTAATTCCATATCACCGTTGGGCGGAAAATGGAAATAATGCATATAACTCGTAAATAATGTGATGATGAAATTTCTATTAAGCGACTTTGCTAAGAAAATAATCATCATTATCAACTTTATTGCAGCGGAAAACTTTTAATATACATTTCTCAATCTTTATCAAATGCTCTGAAAATTGGTCACTTTGATACAAAAATTATCAGAGATTTGAACTTTTAACTATAAGACTCATTGAATTATAATATTGTCATCATCAACGTTAGTCAGAAAATAACAATACCATAATTAAACTTTAATCAAATATCTTTCTACTGTTATAGCAGAAGCTATCTGAATCTGATTTCACCCACAAGTGAAAAAACTTCTCTCAAAAATCTGTTCATCCAATTAAATATTCCCGTTGGTTCCAATTTAATTGGAGGATAATACTTTTTCTTTGCAGCGGAAACTTTCTGAATCTATTCAGAAACAATTCTATACTCTTTTACTCTCTAAGCAATTTCAACCGATTGGTTCAAAAATGCATTGGAGAAACAACAATTTAATCTTTTACTTTAGTTCACTTCACTTAAAAAAAACAATTTTATTTTATTTGCAGCGGAAAAACATGAATAAAACATTCATTAACTTTTTCTTCTTTACAGAAACTTTTCTTTGACCAAATAAAATTCATGAACTTTATTATTTTCTTTATTAAATTCATGAACAATTATTTTCCTGAAATTTTTCTATTTTTATTTTCAAAGACTTTTTCTGTTTACTTCTCAGAACATTTTCTTTTACTTTTCTGTACTCTAAACAAAAGTTTGTTGGAAAAACGAATAGCCAACTCCAGCCGGCCTCGTCCTAGGCACAGGAGGCCCGCAGTGGCTCACGGCCTTCTCCCCCAGAGCGCTCACGCGAGCCGAGCCGCCTCCACCTGGCCTGGGCCGCCCGTGGCTGCAGCCGCAGCTCCTTTTCGGCCCAAAAGCCCACGCTGAGGCTAGGGTTTTGATCTCGGCCGTCAGACGCGATCCAACGATCCAGCGCCGATCTCGCCCGATCAAAACGGTCCAGCCGCGCCGCTCGGGCAAAACCCTAACCTATTCTTCCGTTTCCTCTGTCGGTCTCGCACGCGGCTCTCTCCGGCCACTCGGCTACCGCGTCGTGCCGGTCGTCGACGGCGGCCATCGCGCCGCGCCGTGCCGCGCGAGCTCTTGCTCTTTCCCTCCCCACGCGTCGCGCGAGCCCCTTTTTCCTCTCGCTCTCGCCCGCACGCGGCTGTGTCTGTCCAGGTCGCCGGGCCACCGCGCCGCGCGCAGTTGCCGGCGACGGTCACCGCGCCGTGCCAGGTCGCCGCACCTTTCTTCCTTTCCTCCCTTCATTTCTCCCCCCGAGTCAAGCAACAGAGAGAGAAAGAGACGAGCGGTCAAGCCCTCCTTTGCCCCCGTTCGCGCCCGAGGGCCGTGGAGCGGACGGCGGCGGCGCCGTGGCCTTCCCCCTCGCCGGCTGTGCGTCCACCTTGCGGTGAGCGCGCCGCCGTCGAGTGGTTTGGCCGCGGTGCATCCTTTGCCCTTTTCAGGGTTGGTTCTTCGTCCGGCGCCTCGGCTTGCCGATGCGCGCCCGGATCGAGAGGAACGGCGCGGCCATGATGGCGGCGCTACTTTTTCCGGTTTGGATTCGTTCTTTGCCTTGTCAATTAGGGTTCCAGGGGAGGGGGTAATATCTTTTCCTTTGATTTCAACCGAAGAAACCCTATGCCCAAACCTGTCTGATACCATTGATAGAATTTGGATCGGATAGGCTTAGGGATCATGGTGGGATCATGGTGGTCCTACCTTCACCTTGTGGCTCGAGGAGCTCCCGGTGCCGGCCATGGCGACGATGGCCTGTTGTGATGGCAGAGAGTAGTGGGCGAAGTGGTGGCGGCGCTTCTCGTCAGCACTGCACTAACCCTGATCGGTAGGGGATTAGGTGGGGTGTACGGCGCTGGACGAACCTTGTGATGCGAGCCGTCGGCCCCCACCTCTTTATATAGTGCAGGTGACAAGGGCCCGTCACCCATAGTGGGTTGAGCACCCCATCAGGGCGCGGATCTAAGGGCCCGGTGGAGATCATCCTAACATTCAGATCTTTAAATGGGGAACGCTCGGCTGATCCTAACGCAGACGGACGATGATTCCTCATCTGTGACATGTATTGGGGAACATCCTAAATTAGTAGAATGACAAAACAATGGTACATAGGGATCTTAAAAGTAGGTATGCGGAGCTGTGATGTAATATTGAGAAGCTTAATTCTTAAATCCTAAATCAGTCCAATGACAAAACGATGCTACACAGGGATCTTAAGAGTAGGCATGCGGAGTTGTCATGTAATATTGAGAAGCTCAATTCATAAATGTTTGAGTAAATCAAATTGTTAAGTGTTTTAGTAAATCTGAAACTGTGACAAAATGGACCTTAGATGCAGGGAATGGTGATGAGTGGGAATGCTCTGAACCTGTATAAATAAAGTAGGTGTTCTTAGGGAGGAGGCAAAAATAGTACTCCTTCCGTTCCAAATTACTTGTCGTAGGTATGGATGTATCTAGATGTATTTTAGTTCTAGATACATTCATTTCTGCGACGAGTAATTTGGAACGGAGGGAGTAGATATAAAATATTGTGAGTGAGATTGCCTAAATATCTTTGATCAGAAAGCTCAGAATCTTCTGGATGGTAATTTTCGTGCCACCCGAGGAATGTGCAGGATTTTGAGAGCATTGAAAAGGTAATTGGAGTGACAGCAAACAATTTGTGAACCATACAAAGAGCTTAAATACTCATAAATCAGATTGAGCTTAAATACTCATAAACCAGACTCTAACCCTTTTAGTGGCATTGGCGTTGGATCATGATAATTCACCTGCGGCAATTGTCCCAGAATAATGGTGATTAATTTTGTTTGCTGTGTGGAAGGATCATCTATGCACTAAAATAATCATAACCAGAAGGATCATGTATGCATCAGATTGTCTTGTTTGGAAAGAACATAACCACAAGCATGCTGTTCAAACAATTCACAATTCAATGTAAAGAAAACTTACTGTCTGGATGAGGTCGTTGTTGGCAGCAGAGGAGGACACCGCCACCTGGCCGTGCTCGCGTTTTTCCGAGTGGCAGCAGAGGAAGGCCGGCGGGATGCTCTCGCTCTCCCACCTTGTTGGGGCAGCAGAGGAGGACCGGCGGGCGACTGCTCATGCTCGCGGCGGAGGAGAAGAGGATGGGCGGGAGGAGGGCGGCAGAGGACCGGCGGGCGGCGGAAGGTGGGCGAGGATGAGCAGGAGGCGGGAGAGGATGGCGGGCGGCTGCTGACGGTCGCGGCGGCTCCCCCGGTACGCGACGGGTGGCGGCCTCCAACTGTCCCAGGGCGAAGGGCGCGACGGTTGGCCGCAACCGCGACTTGCGGCGACTCCCGCAGCAAAGGAGGGCGGCGCCCGCGGCGAAAGGCGCGACGGTGGTGTGATAAGAAACAATCTTCCGCCTAGATTAACTCATTATAATGAAATGTTGGGTTTCCACGAAAGGTTCTGGGATGGTCCGGCTCCCGTAGCTAAGGAGCGACGAGCGGCGGACGGCGCGGGGAGGAGCAAGAGGGGGCGAGAGGTTGTGCGGAGGGGGTGAGAAATCGTGCGTGCATGTTTTTTAAAGGGCGTGACTGGTTAGCGATCGATTATGGATGGGTTAGCGATCGATTAAGGGCGTGATTGGTAGCGTTAAACATAGAAAGATTAAGAGCCATTAGATTAGGATGATGAATGAATATGATTGTTTGGATCTGGCCCTCTTTTCCTTTTATAGTAGTAGTAGATAGTAGATGAACTAGATTTGGGAAAGTTTGGGCTGACTGTCCAAATGGTTGGATTTTGGCTATGCGCCCGTTTGATGTCGGAACATATCCGGACGTATGAGGATGAGCTTTGACCTTCCAAACGTTATATGGACTGTAGCCCGTAGCAACGTGATTTCCCGTATTTCGCAAGATGTGCCAAGTGCACATTTCATAATTTATTTTCGTTTGACATTGAATTGAGGAAATCAGGGAAAATATGAAATGGGTTCATCACTACGGTGCCATCACGACCATCACAAAATTAGAGGAAAGAAAGCTATTTTAAGCGCCAAAAATATTTGAATTTGTGTCCATCTTTGAATTGAGAAATAAATGTGACAATTGCGATACACGATGGAACAAGGGAGGCGATGCATAAAACCAAGCAGGTTTTCCGCTCCCCCCCTACACCGGTGCTGGACTAGGGTGTTCTTCCTGGAGGAAGGAAAGCAAAGCGCTGCATGTCGTTGTCACTTGCTGCGGCTCCCGTTGCACTGGTGAACGAAACCGTTGCCGTTGGCGCTGCCGTTCATGTGGATCCCATTACTGCCGCTGCTGCTGCCTGCGTCCCTTCGCTTCACGGTGGCTTTCTTTAGCCCCCATATGCGAATGGTATGATCATCGCTCGCAGATGCAAGCATATGTGGATTTGTAGGGTTCCAGCTTACGCAGTTGACCGCACCAGAGTGGCCAGACAGGGTCTCGATAACATCTCCACTAGCTCTGTGCCATATATAGACCTGACAAATTAAGAAAATTCATGACACGGAGTTGTCAAACTGAACCAATGACACTGAAAATGTCACAAATGTTGTATATACAGTTATGCTTTATTAGATATACAGTAGAAGACAGCTTTTCCAGTTCAGTCACTAGGTTCTCCAGTAACATTGGCTTGCAAGATACTCCCTCCATCCCAAAACTTTTGTCTTAGATTTGTCTAAATACAGATGTATCAAGTCACATTTTAGTATTAGATACATTCGTATTTAGACAAGTCTAAGACAAGAATTTTGAGACGGAGGGAGTAGCAAATATAACTTCAAAGTTTCTGGAATCTACTCCCTCCGTTCCTAAGTACTCCCTCCGTCCGGAAATACTTGTCGGAGGAATGGATGTATCTAGACGTATTTTAGTTCTAGATACATCCATTTTTATGCATTTCTTCGACAAGTATTTCCGGACGGAGGGAGTACAAGTCTTTTTAGAGATTTCAATACGAACTACATACCAATGTATATAGACCTACTTTAGAGTGTAAATTCACTCATTTTGCTCCATGTGTAGTCCATATTGGAATCTCTAAAAAGACTTACATTTAGGAACGGAGGGAGTAGCATTATCTAGAAGCTACTCCCTCGGTCCCATAATGTAAGTGTTATAATAACACTCACATATTGGTTGTAATAACATCTTATATTATGGGATGGAGTAATAAATAATAGAAATGATGCGGACAACATAATTTATTGATTTATTTGCATCCACAGTCAATATATCATACCTTTGCGTCTTCGCTTCCACTGGCAATAAAGGCCTGCTCAGATCCACCGAAACATGACCTTATCACAAACCGGCTGCGCTTATGGCCAGTGTACCGTTTAACTCGAATGGGATCGTTCCTTATGTTCCACAAATGAATCTGCTCATTTACAAGATTTACAAGCAAGAAATCACCATCTTCCGAAAGAGAAAATGAAGTGACTGTATGCTCCTCTTCAATCAGCCTCTCCTGTTTTGTGTCCCTATTGAATAACAGAATTGCGGAATCTCTACTGGTGCTTATTATAAGTTTGCCATCTTTTGAGACAGCAAAATCAGATGTTTTCGTTGACCTCTGCCCTTCCCAGCAATCTGCTTGTTTTCCATCTAAATCCCACAAGCAAAGGCTTTGATCATTTAAACCAGACAATATTTGCTTTCCATCTGGAAACCAACCACATGACAACAGACCAACGCCATATTTTTCATAAACATGAATACATTCGCCAGATTCAACATCCCAGCGCCGGATGACTTCTTCCATTCCACATGTGAGAAGCTGGCAATCATCAGGGCTCCATGCAACCATCATCACTGGTTTCTCATGACCAGTCAATGTATGCTTCAGCAATAGTTCTCCATCTTCATCAACCTAGGATAACGAATACTCACATTACTGCAAGCAAGGAGAAGACTGTTTTGTGTTGCATCAACTATCGAGGTGATCGTGAAAATGTAACTTCATCATCATTATCAGTAAACAAACATACGCGTGGAATGCAGCTAGCTTCCTGGAACAATGCGGAAGAGGAAAACAGAAAATCGGGTTCATGTTCATCTGGGTCTCGAATGGGTTCAAGTGTTGAAGGAAATAATGGAAATTTTATGCAGATAAGTTTTGACATTTTAAAATAAGGAGCAACAGTAAGTGTGTGACCACCAAAAAAAATCAGAACACCTTTCAGATAAGCTAACCATTCCTCACATGCATAGAGACCAAAGCTCTAGGGTTGTGGAGTTGTTCATTGAAGTGTAACCAGAAGAAACACACTTCCATGTTCAAGGTGACAGGCCAAGAGAAAAGTGTTTGGTCACACGATCATGGAGTAAAACTGACAAACATATTAATCAAATATATTTGGTGCTGAAGCTAAACATTGTACAAATAGGCTCCGATGAAACTAATCATGTAAAAAAGGCAATCTTGTATCTTTCACTTTCATTTGCACAAATAACAAAATATTCTGGACAACAATTTTCAGACAGAACAAATAGCAGGTGAGCAGCCAAGCATGAATGAGAGAGTGCAATTTCCAGTTTTCACATGGGGTGCAAAACTGGAAAGTAAGGGGTAAGTGACTGCACTGTTAACACCAATTAAGAATGTCAAAAGTCAGAAGCATAGATACCTTCCATATGACTGCAGTTTTATCGTTTGATGCCGATGCTAAATACTTCCCATTGTTTGAAAATTGGAGAAACCATACTTCGTCACTGTGTGCACACAAAACCTGCAATAATTTTACTTTCTTCTGATTTAGTAGTACAAGTGATAAGTATGCATCTAACAGTGTGTCATCATGCAACACAAAACATAACAGGCATTTACTGTTTTACACTAGGAATGAAAGGCACATCAGGACCCTCGGCTGATAGGATGTTTTCGTGAATAGAAAAATTGCACTCAGCTAACATCTATCTTTCTCGGCCAGTTGTCCATACAGAAACAGCAAGTCCAATACTTCCTCATGCAAATCTCAATTTGTTTGTACCCTTTGGAACCTAAATATATATTGTAAAAAATATTCGAATAGCAAGACAGAAGGGGGGGGAGGGGTGGCGCTATACAGATGCTCAAGAGTTGAGAGGCTTATATGTTATGCATATATTGTAAGTAAAGTGGGCTTTCGCTTCTTCGGTTAAGATGACTATGTTTTACACTTTAACTATCCAACAACAGCAAAACCAAAGTATACAAGTAGTCAAACATACACGCTCGCGGCTGCAAGCACATACAATCCAAAGAGAAAGGGTAGATAATAGAACAGAACTTCTAATGATGAGACATCAAATAAAAGCAATGACACATAGTCTACTATCTATCTATCTACTCCTAATTAAAAAGCACGAGTTTGGCGAATCCAAATGATCTGAGCCATCCAACCACCTATATCCAACGTCTCACGCTGCTCCAATGATATATCATCGATCACATATCAATAATTTGGAAACATATTGATTGCATAGATCATAATTTGGAAACAACATTTGCATTAAACACAATTAATATTACTGCCAAACTGGACATGCGTGCACGAACACGATTACTAGTAGGTAGTAAAGGAAAGAGCAGACACTACTGCTTCTATTGGTGCGTGACCAGTCCAGTCAACCGACAAGTGTGCAACCTTGATTTAGCTCTATGCAAATAACATGTAATAAATGCAAGCACTGAAATAGAGCACCAGCATGAGTTCTGACCTGCAGCACTTGAGATGGTATCTGATCTCTCCCACAGTGATGATCGATATAGAGTGACAGGCCATCAACAGAATTATGTAGATAACAAGCTTCACGTTGTACAGTAAGTGCCTGTTCAACTAAATTCTCTAACCTCCTCTCAGGTACCATAACGGTAGGGGGGAGCACCTTTTGCAATTCCTCTAGGAGCTTAAACCGTGAGTTAGAAGATTCAATTCCAGGCTTTGAAAAACCAACCAAGACGTTTTGCGGAGAAGAAATTAAGCAACTTGCCATTTCATGAACTCTTTTTCTGTTAATGCCAAGGGGGGAGATTTCACTTTGCAGCGTCTTCATAGCACCCATGACATTGCCATTTCTCAGAAGTTCAAAAAATTTCTGCTCCAATAACAAAAATACTGCAGACTTCACAATGTTTTCATCCAGAAGATCAAGTGTGTTCAAGGTAACTACGGCACTGTCCCAATTCCCATCAAGCACCTGCTTTCTGAAAACATTCACTGGTGGGGAATGCAGTGTTATACCTGATTCTTCCTCAAGAACAGCTCCAGTTTTTTCATATCCTAGAGTATACAGAGATTTTGTGATTATCCTCACAAATTCATCCCTCTTAATTAAACCTTTAGAACCAACCATAACTTCTTTCCCTTGGGAAGTCAAAGGTCTAGCCATTGTACCTCCCAAAGGATTAGTGGGTTTAGAATAACAGGGGATGTCTGACAAAGTTGCTGATTCTACTGAGGATGCTCTTGCCCGTTTTGATGGCGGTTCATCATCTTCAAAACCTCCCATGAAATGACAAAGTCAGCCCATATATTCTTTGCTTCTGTAGAGAATAATGTTACACAAGCAACGAGAAATTGCCACCACAGAAATCTGTAGGTTACTGCAGTCTGCAAATAAATAGCATATTACAGCCATGAATTATCAAATGCAACCAATAACAAATAGTCCATCTCTATCACTTACATCTAATAATGCATACCAACCAGGCAAATTCAAGAAATAAAATGATGCACGTAATGTAAGAAACTACAGCAAGACACAATGTACCATCTAATCTAACAACTAAATCCTTTTGTTTTTCTTCCATAAAATAAGATGTCTGATCTATAGAAATAAAAGATAAGAAAAAAGGGGAAAAAATTTAATCCATATCTCTCTCATTCCTTTCTTACAAACAAAAGAGTTTTTCTTATTGAAGGCTGGATTATTATCCATTTTTAGTGATAAAAAATCACGACATACTAGTTATGTCACTCTCACTATACCCACGTATAATATAATATGTGGGTCTGTAGTATATGATTCGTCTATTTCTTAGAGTACGAAAGACGAATCGAATCTTCTTATGGTTCTATTTAAGAATGGGTATGCCATACACCCCGCGGGGATTGTAGTTCAATTGGTCAGAGCACCGCCCTGTCAAGGCGGAAGCTGCGGGTTCGAGCCCCGTCAGTCCCAAACTAGGGTTCAATGAATGGAGAAATTGATATTTCCTTTTTCCATGAAAAGAAGGGGCAGTGAGCAAGATCAAATACCCACAGGGCACCCTTACTTCACTTTTTTATTTTGCATCTCTCCTTAAAGAGGGAGGGAAGGCGTATAGGAATTTTTTAAGATAAAGAAAGACACACATACGATATGTGGATTAGTAGAACATCGAGACGATCTACAAGTCCATGTGACACACGTATGAGAAAACATGAATCACAATTCACGGCTGAAGCTCAGAGACGTAAGGCGCAGGTATTAGTGCTCCCAATTATTTTGTAAGTTGTGGGTCAAACATTATGCACACTCCAGAAAAATCCCCACAAAAAAGATCATTATGGGGGTCTGAACCACATAGCATTTGACTGTTATTAATCATCACATAATCCTAAAGAGAAACCATTTGTTTGCGACCAGTCAAAGGGAACCACGAATATGTGAGGTACAACTAGCGAGCTTATGTTTAGTAATCCTCATTTTAAAAACTAATAAGACTATAGTCATATTTCAAGCCTGTACTATCTGATCTCTTACCTGCTACCATATACAAGAAACAACACAGAGTCAGGATGATAGTTGGACCAGCATACCCGAAGACAAAGTCACAACATCAAAGCTTCTCGCAAGCTACCACTGATCCAGAACAATTGCTCCATAATTAAAATAGTACCATCGCGATACATTGGACCAACTGATAACTAGTAAACCACAAAATATCTCACTCCAAGATGAGACGCTTGTTTTAGAGAACGTAGCCCAAGGCTCTGGCAGCAGAGGTTCTTTTTTGCCATGAGTTAGCATCAGAATTGGTAGTCAGTTGCTAAAATATGATAAATGACCACTCCACGCTCAAACCCTACCCTATGGCAATCCTTCACCAGAACTTTAATTAATTCATCAGTCCACTAGCACTGAGAAGTTGCAAATAGCCTCCATTGCGAACAAAAAACAAGATATCCATGAAATACTCACATAAATTGCTAGCAAGCAACAACAGACATACTAGACGGATGACCCCTGCAAATAACACGATCCAATTGTTCATCAACCCTTGTAACTACGCTGCCTAATTAATCACCACCAACCGTAAATCGCAGGGGCCTAGCCAACCCTGCGCCCTTCGTGATTCCACCGAGCTGCGAAAGATAAAGAAACTAAGCAAGCAGCGCCGCGACGGGGGACCGATCATGTACAGAACTCCGTTGCTGGATGAGTTCATCGTACGGTTGTACATACGCGCGCCGCCGCAGGAATCCCTCCTCCCGAATCCACAACCCCCACGTCAGAAATCAAGAGGCGAAGCAGAGAGTGGGGAAGGGCCCTGACCTGCAATCCGGTGCCTGATCCCCGCGTGACTGCACGTGCGCGACGCGGAGCAGACCGCCGCTGCACGTCACCTCGCCGCTCCCTCGGATGGCCGACGCTGAGCGGGGACTCTGCACGCCGTCGCAATCGGGCCGCAGTATCCGCGAATCAAGCTGCCGCCGCACCGAATCGAGCCGCCACCGCCGTCGCACCGAATCAGGCCAGGCGCCGGTGGGGACAGCGAATCGAACCTGATGATGGCGCTACCGGAGGCCGTCGGCGCGACGCTGCGTGGGGTGACGAGACCGCCGGTCACCGCAGGGATCTTCACCGCTGGGGACGCAAATCCGCCGCTCGCTGCCTCGTCTTGTTCGTTTGGCAATGCCGCTGGCTTCCTCGGTGCTCCTGGAATAATATGATGATGATGAAAAGAAAATAGAAAAGACGTGTGTAGGACGGTATGGTAGATACCATGTGTTTTTACCCTGCCAGTAACAGGGAGGGATACGTGATGTTTACCCAATGAATTGAAGACGTAATTCTAGGTTTCCGCTTCCTCTCGCCTCAAAGGAAATAATACTTTTACGCTTTCTTTTTACATAGATTGTCCTGCGTTCTACGTCTTCTCCAAAGGCCATCTGCGCCATGGAACATCTCCGGCGGCTCCACATGGAGAGTTTATTTCACGTGTCAACTACACGGCGCTTACTTAGAGCAACTCTAGCAGACCCTATAAAAAACCGACCCGTATATGGCATTTACAGTTCGACGTCAAACTGTTTTGCAGGTCGAAATCGTGCACGGCAGAGTAAACCCCGTATATATAATTTAAAACTTTCGCGGGGGAAATTGCAACCACACTAGCTCATCACATACTACATGATCATACACTGCTTCATCATATACTAGAAGATCATACATTCTACTCCCTCCGTTCCTAAATATTTGTCTTTCTAGACATTTCAAATGACTACCACATACGGATGTATGTAGACATATTTTAAAGTGTAGATTCACTCATTTTGCTTCGTATGTAGTCACTTGTTGAAATGTCTAGAAAGACAAATATTTAGGAACAAAGGGAGTACATTCTTCTACTACTACTAGAGGGGGGTGGGGGATCTCGCGACGCGAGGCCGAGGTCGATGTACCAAAATTGACGAGCTCGCGGCCGAGGACGACACGGTGGAGGAGCTCTGTTGTAGGGTGAAACCCTAAGATGGATCTTTTCACACTTGGAGGGAAAAAGGAGATGAACACCAATAACACAAAGAGGGAATCACACCAACAATACCCAATTAGATTCCTCGAAAAGTTAAGAATTAGTAGTTCTTTTTCGAAAAATCCACTAGAATAGCAAACACAAGATCCACAAGTTCACAAACACAATCAAAAGAAAGATACAATGATAAAGTTCTTTTCACTCCTAAAGGAAAGATACAATGATAGAGTTCTTCTCACTCCTAAAGGGGCGAGGTCTTGAGAATAGTCTTCTCCTTGTGGAGGTCTTGAAACCCACAAGGATTCTTTTCAAAAGGGGTCTTGATCCACAAGAGGGAAGGTAGAAGAAGCAAAGATCACAAATATCTCACATATACTTTGCTAACCCTAACATATGGTCTAGGTACGAATTATATAGGCCTGGGGAGGTAGGAGACGAAGTGGATGCGAAGAGGAGGCCCAACAGCGATCTCGGCCGCTCATCCTATAGGGCCCGTGCGCACGGGGTAAGTTGGGCCCATGCGCACGGGGTGCTACAGCGCCAACTCCCTGGATAATCCGCGGGCGCGGGGTCTCGGGGGCCCATGCGCACAGGGTCGACTTGATGAAAATATGCCCTAGAGGCAATAATAAAATGGTTATTATTATATTTCCTAAATCATGATAAAGGTTTACCGGAAACTTAAATACATGTGTGAATACATAAACGAATACGGTGTCCCTAGTGAGCCTCTACTAGACTAGCTCGTTGATTAAAGATGGTTAAGGTTTCCTAACCATGGACATGTGTTGTCATTTGATAACGGGATCACATCATTAGAAGAATGATGTGATAGACAAGACCCATTCGTTAGCTTAGCATAATGATCGTTTAGTTTTATTGCTATTGCTTTTTCATGTCGAATACATATTTCTTCGACTATGAGATTATGCAACTCCCGGATACTGAAGGAATACCTTGTGTGCTATCAAACGTCATAACGTAACTGGGTGATCATAAAGATGCTCTACAGGTATCTCCGAAGGTGTTTGTTGAGTTGGCATAGATCAAGATTACGATTTGTCGCTCCAAGTATCGGAGAGGTATCTCTTGGCCCTCTCGGTAATACACATCATAAGCTTGCAAGCAACCGACTAAGGAGTTAGTCACGAGGTGATGTATTACGGAACGAGTAAAAAGAATTGCTAGTAACAAAATTGAATGTAACATCCTAATTTTCAATTTGGATGTTAATCATTAGGCCATCATATGCATCCATGATTTGTGCATTTTGAATTTGGTTTATTTGGACATTTTGATCCTAGAGACCTTAAGCAACTCAAGGACCATTTGAGAGAGTTGGAGGTTTTTACAAAAATCCATTTTTGAATTTCCAAAATTGGAAAATTGGATCAAAGTGGTTTTTTATTTGAAATTATTTTTTCAATCATTTTCAAAATAAATAAATAATGGGAGAAGATAATATGACTTCTTCAGAAACAACTAGGAAATACTGGAAATTTAATTTTGAATAAAAATATATTTTATTTGAATTTTATTCGGTTAAATTAGGGAAAATTTTGCATTTTAAAAAAATGCATTTAACCTAGAAAATTGTTCACTTTGTCCTAAATATTAAGAGAGGACGGTGAAAATTATTTCTGGAATTTTAGGATTTTTATTTTATTTTATTTGGAATTAAAAAAAATTGGACCAACTGGGCCGAAGCCAAGCCGACCCATACCGCGCCGCCGCCTTCCACCTCACGCCCGAACCGGACTCCTCCGGAGTC